ATCGAGCTTGAAGAGATTAATCGACGTGATAACCTCTGATTGATAACTTTGAGGGAATGCCCCAGATTTGGCTGAGCTTGGAGAGATCGATTCTCGACTTGATTGCCCCAGATTGGCAGTTTTAAGGGAATGCCCCAGATTTGGCTGAGCTTGGAGAGATCGATTCTCGACTTGATTGCCCCAGATTGGCTGAACTTGGAGAGATCGATTCTCGACTTGATTGCCCCAGATTGGCTGAACTTGGAGAGATCGACTCTCAACTTGATTGCTCCAGATTGGCAGGCTCTGCTAACTTCATCCCTGAAGGATACTCAGATTGTAAAGCACCAAGATGATTTCTCTTGACAGAATCACCAGTTAACATGCTGCTGGATAAGTCATTTCTCTTGTGGCAGCTGACTCTTGCTTCAACAGGGTATTCAAGCCTCTCTTCTCTGACAAGATTGAGCTCTTTACCAGTTGTTCATTGTGCAAACTTACTTGATGTCGATCAGTTGCTTTGTATGCAGAAGAATGTTTATTATGAGAATGATAATTCTAATACAACACATATGTAAGTCTTGAAGTTTGAAAAAACTTTGAATGAAATGACGTCACAACTCTGTTGTGAACGAGTCACTAGCTAAAGAGAAATATTTGCAAATTCTTTTTTTGAAATATAATGCAAGCATATGATGCCAAAACAGATATTGAGACGTACCTCTTAGGAGTCAGTTAAACGATATCTCGCTGTAGAATGCTTTCGAATTGACCCATGCTTCAATTAGGACTTTTATGGGTTGTAAGGTGGCCTGGTTCACGGTTTTAGAAAAAAGGATTTAAGGCTAAAAATTATTTGGTGCCCACCCATTCTCCATGATGTTCTTCATTCCTACGTTCAGTTGACCTGGTACAAGCATTCATCTCTTGAGAAGAGTTTGCGATGATTGAGGAACCACTGTGGTTTCTTGGACACGACAGTCACTAACTTCTTTGCCTTTGGTGTCTGATCACACGACTTTGTTCTTTGATGAGGATTTTTATTGGTAATCCTTTTCTCGCCTTTTAGGATTTTTCAATTCCCTTATTTCTTTTGCCTGGACATATTCTTTTGCATTTCGATTTGGATGTCCAGCGGGATGCCCCAATTTTTTTTTGTCTAAGTGACTTGTTTTCAAGTTTCAACTTAGCGGGGATTTTTGTTTCTTTCTTATTCGTATTTTTTTGTTTTGAACAAGTCATTGAACTTTGCGTTGTTTTCGATTTGTCGGAAGTGATCGTGACTGCCTGAGTCTTTAGTATCGTCATTTGTTGACCTCCTGATGTGCGAGAGATACCCATTGGGATATAGTCAATAGACGCACATTGTTGTTAGATGAAGGTTTAACCATTGTGGTTTTGACTTTCCTCAACCTTTTGATGGATAACCATTGTTGTATCCTTGGATGCACACTCTTGATGAGTTCTGAATGCTTGAACAGATTAGCTGAACACTACCCGCCCCAAGGTTAAAATGAGGGTTTTTTTCTGAACAGAAAGGAAACTCCTACTTCGAAGGCTCAGAGGGGTTGACGAGGGTCTATCTCCCTTATATCTCCGGTGTTTGGGGATTGAAACAAGGCCTGTACATCGTCAGCAGGGTCTTACTCAAAAGCGTATCAACCAGAGATTTTTTTGCGTTTTCAGATTGTCATCATCCTCCTTTGAATCTTTACCTAAGCATAAGACTAGGAAATTTGGCATCAATATGCAAGTAAAACATTTAAAGAGTGATAACAAATGGATGAGTAAAAATGAAAGGAATACTTCAAGACAAGCATACTTATTGCATTAAGATTTTCGTTCAAAAATAGACAAGTTTCTATATACAAGCAATGTTTAAACAAACAAGCAAGAATGCAAATGAAAATTCAGTCAAAGAAACCAATGATTGCCATTGTTGAGGAGACTTGACTCCATATGGACTTGCTGATTCTGACGACTTTCGGTAGTCTTGATGCTCGAGTGCGAGAGAATTCCCTTTCAGATCTGATGTGAGCGTGACAGTCTCTGAATTGATCCAGTCTTGGACTTGGTCTCTAGATGACATACCATCTCCAATCGATTGGCCAGCTGCCCCAGTATAGTATGCATATAAGGTTCTTTCAGGAGAACGAATGAATGATTTACCAAGCGAATCGGTACAAATTTCCCGTTTGAAGAAATTTATGATTACGGGCCAAAGTATACCACATGGAGTCATTCCATAGCTGGTCCCTGAACACGTGCGGTGAGAAACCAAGTTGAGCCTTTGAAGAGAACCCCAAGTCTGAATAAGAATCTCCAATCTCCGGGTACCTGTCATGAATGCATGAATATGCATGGGATGCATGAATGGATGCCATGTCATGTCTTGTCATTTCCAAGGAATTTGCGTGCTTTGATTTTGTTTTTGCGTAGGTAAGGGATGGAAGAATTTTGGCACAAGACTTGCAAATATGATTCCTTGAAAATAACAGAACATGTATGTTAAGCATGCAGTTAGCCATGTTATGTATGCAAAGGCATGAGATCAAAGAGGGTCATGGTTCCATCATTCCTGAATAAGGTTGCTGCACTGCTCTGGATCATGTGAGTATCATCAGATCAGAGGTTCGACATAACTTCTGCATATATAAGGGCCAAGTACCCTGTGGATCTCCCATTGTCCGGGATCAAGGCTTCTGGAACATTGGATACTGTTGAGAATTTCTGAACATGCTGGGAATACCAAGATTGAAGGATTGAATGAACCTCCAGGTAAACAAGTCAGGATCTCAGAAAATAAATCTGAGAACCATATGGTCACCAACAAGATATAGCATCTGCATCAAGTCGGAACAGAAATCCAGAATATAGCCATTAGAACCAATAGCCACTGTCTGAGCATAGTCACCATTTGTACCTGAATAACCATCTGAACACAGTCACCATCTGTACCTGTGACAAAAATTCCCTTCCCACTCACGGGTGAAAACTAGGTCAGGGTAAGATAATGGTAACTCGAAAATCACGGGTCCGCCTGAAAGTGCTATGGGCTTACCCACAGACGTGGGTGCCGATAGTAATTCATTTAAACCTCATCTGAGCGTGGTATATGACATGACTGCACCAATCGGACCACGTCCTATAGCCGTCATGCCCCCACTCTATTCCTAGGTGTCCTAGTGCACTCTGGCCTGGGTACTGGGCCTTTTACCTCAGAAGTGACATCCCCACCCAACATAGAGAACAAAGTCCAGCATAATAGATAACAAATATGGAAAGCCATAAAATGCAATGCAAACTTATGCTCCGATAAACATGTACGAATGAGTAAACTAAAAGCATAAAAATAAACACCCTAAGGAAAGAAAACAAGAGCTAGGAGCGACTCCGGGATGGACCAGCATTTGGTCGACCTAATTCCCCAGTGAAGTCGCCAACTGAAACAACCGGCTGGAAATCATCAAAACAATGAAGTCGCCATTGAACGTCTTTTATCCCACACGTAGGGAAAGGTAAACATCGAGAAAACCTGATGAGGGAGAAGTCACGGTCTTGGAACCGAGAGATCGGGTAAGGGAGTCTGTTACGCGAGGGGAAGGTATTAGAACCCTGCACGCCCGTAGTACTCTACGGTATCCACTCTTGTTATCTATCTTATTGGTGTGTTTAATCTATGCTTACTGTTTATTATATTGCTAAAGAGAGAATGCATGCAACAGAAAGGAGAGAAGAATGTAGGGAAAATAAAATTGTGCTCGCCTGGGCCCTACCCCAATGCCTACGTATCCTTTTTGAGGAATCAGAGCTACCGTAGTTCGGCTCATATGTTTTTGTTTGTTTGTGTTTTTATGGACGAAGTTAATTTCGCCTTTTGCCGCAGCTTGACCTTTGGAGACTTATGCGTTGGCACAAAAGTAAATTAATCGTGTCCTTACCTGAAAAGGGTTTTTTTTTATGAAAGGTGCTCGAGCGCACAAAAGATTTGAACTGGTTTATATTTTGTTGTAGATGTTGACTGATTGACCTCAAGAGAGAGATATTAGCCATTTTTCTACTTAGCCATGAAAGGAGTCTTTGAGAATTGAACCACACCTATGCTTAAGATGAAGAACAATAAGATCGAGAAGAGACCCGCTTATCATTTCCCGTACTAAGCAAAAGCATGATTCTCATCAATAATTTTATAGTGTTTTGAATTTAGAAAATAAAAAGAAGACAAGTTTTAGTTTTAGGTGCGTATGTTCAAAGAGAAAGAAAAGTCAAATGGGACTAGCTTAGTTCTAAACCTAATGTTATCGTGCGTTAGTAGCCATAAGATTTAGGTTAAAGGGGAAATTTCTACCTGATGTTATCGTGCGTGGTTAGACCTAAAGTTAGAATTTTGAGGGAATTCTACTTAATGTTAGCATGTTTGAATTGCGATAAAGTACCGAAATGAAGGATAAAATAGGGTTGTGACGATACCGAACGGAGAAGGTCCGTTGCCTCTTCAAAATTGTGCAAGCGGTAAGAAAATTCTATCAAAGTTCCCTTGGGCAAGTGATTGAAGAATTCACCCCGAGCATTCCACATTGCAAGAGTTATGTCGATGCTACAAAAAGTCTTGACTAGAAAATGGCAATAAAAATGATTATCGAATATGAAAAATAAAATAGAAAAAATTCTAATCGAAATTCTAAAAAGAAATTCTATTCTAAAATACTCTATTATTTTTATTGTCAATTGAGAGGAAAAAAATTAAACTAAAAGAAAAACTAAAATAATAAAAGAAAAGAAAAAATTAGAAGAGTTAGGGGGTATGAAGTCTAGAAATATGGGTGCTGAAGTAATTTGCCCAAAAAGATTTTCAACATTTTATTTATTATTTACTTAGTTATTATTATTATTAATTTGAAATAAAAATATAAAATGATAAAACAGTTAAACTAAATGGGAAAAAAAGTATATGAAATTGGAAAGGGATTTAGGGTTTGGGAAAGAAAAGTCGTTCTCTTCTTCTCCGTAGAACAGCGCCGCTACCTTCCCTCTCTGCCGCCGTCTTCTTCTTCCGCTTCGGCGATCTCCGATTCCATCTCCGCCGTAAATGCTGTCACTTCGATTGCGCCTTCACCGATTATATCCGATAGTTTTCCGTTTTTGATGAGGACGGTACCGGTGTAACCAGCTCCGGCGATAAATAGGATCTTGGAGATCCCGATTCCACTTTGCATAGCCATGGCCATGGCGCGAGAGGAGCGATTTGAAGCTTCCTTATTCACTTTCAGAAGGAAGAACTGTGGAGTTATGGAACAATACGTATGAGCAAGATCGAGAGCGTCGATAAGGAAAGAACGATTGAGTTTGGTTTGTGATTCTTTTCAATGATTGAAGAATGAGATGATTGAGAGGTAATAAAAAAATTCTTTTTTCTGTGTTGAAATCATATATATATATATATATATATATATATATATATATATATATATATATATATATATATATATATATATATATATAATGTTCTGAATCTCGTTTCTTGTTACAGTCTGATGTCGGCGGATTCATCCGTGTTGTTTGTGTTTGCTTTGATGAAGATTATGCGTGAGACGTTGAACATAGACGATAAGAGTGCAGCATATGCGTTTGCAGCATTGTAGAAACGATGATTGTTGAAGATGAAAAAAGGAGAAATGATATTGATGATAGGAATTGCATAGAATCTTTGAGACGAAGATGATGAAGATTCCGGGAGGAAATGCCGAGAGAGATGAAGATTTATGGAGATCCTTCAGAGAGTTTTAAGGCGGGTATCTTAATTTTCTATGACTTTTTCTGTCTTTTTCTTCTTGCTGGATGCTGATTCTGATTGTTGTTGTTATTCTTGATGCAGGAACCGTGATGGTGATGTTGCGAAGTAGTTGAAAAACAAAGAGTGAATGAATGTAGATGATGAAGCTTGATATGCCGGTTAAGGGTTCCGTCGGAGAATTGATGCCAATGGGAAATTTTCGAAGTTGAAGATTGAAAGCGATTTTGGCGATCGATCAAGGTTCTTGGAGAATGATGTGATCGGTTGAAGAAGAAAGAGATTGCTGGTTTTTTTGGTGAGTTTGTTCTATATCTAAACTTTCTGACTTTTCTCTGTGTTTGTAAAATAAAGAATAAATCTCAAAACTGAATCCCCTCTGCCCTCTCCCTATTCTGTCCATCTCTGGTATATATGTACTGGCAGTTTGTTATAGGAGGTAGTTAACAAAAATTTTGTTAGGAAGTTAAGATGCAGTTAGGAGTTTGTTACAGTTAAGTTAGTTATGGTTTGGGAAATGGAAAGTTTTAGGAGGTTAGGGAACTGTTAGGGAATGAAATAATGGTTAAGAAATGGGAAATTCTGTTTTGGTTAACAATTATAAAAGCTGTTAGAAAATCTGTTAGGAAATTGGTTGTTGAATTAACTGTTTTTTGCAGTTAAGGGGCTGTTATGATGTTTGGATTGCCGCTTATGCTGAAACTGATATGGTATGCTTGGTTTTATGCAGGTTCAGTTGTGATTTTCAAGCATGGGATTTGGTGTTAGCAAGGGAGATAGTGGCATGGTAGAATATCCTTTCGTCTCTTTTCAAGGCTTGAAGAGAATGAAATTATGGCAGACGACAAAGAGTTTGAAACATGGTGGCTTATCATGGAAGACTTTGAAGTATGACGAGATAGACTTTAGGATGAGCATTAAGGTTTAGGAATGGTTATTTCATATTATTTTTTGATGTAAAGGACATGTAACAGAGAGATATTTAGTTGTAATTGTTTTTTTTTATTTTATGGAATGGACACGGTTTGAATATCATTGGTGAATCTTGTTTAAATTGGTCTGATGCTTGAGTGAGATCAAATAGATGGTGATATATTCGAACATAGCATGATAACGCTCGGAGTGAATTGAACTTTGAACTTTTATGAATGATTTGGATCCTGAATGAGTTCGAAATTGATGATGAAAGGTATAGAATTCTTGGAATATGGACTTGAAAAATGCTTTGCAATTTGAATTTTACATTTTACTTGTTGTTTGTATTTCAAGCAAACCACATGACTGAACCTTCCAAATTTAGCATGAGCCAAATCCAAACTTATGTCCTTGAATAGGTTGAATTCATGGAATCACTTGAATGAATGAATGAACACATCCGAATTCCATGCATAAGAACCTTAATCCTTTTGAGATGTACCTTGGTGACTGAATGATACTGAGATATTGATAAGAAACCAAGTTTTAACTCAAAATATCTTTGTCTGAATCCTTGATGAAACCCTAGCATTCACACTCTTAATGCACTTAGTTCTTGAAGTAACTTCGACACAAACGACTGTATCCCCTGATGAACTTGGGGGAAGATACCCTTATAGCCTGATAAGAAATAAGTCCACAACAACCACGAATCAAAATCCTACCACCGACCATGAATATTGAAGAAGCAGCTTGAATCTCTTGAATGAAGATAAGAGCCTCAAAGCCATATGGGAACCCTAATTTTCAAGACCCTTGATCACGTGCCAAAAATGTTGTTAGCGAATGTATGCAACATTAAATGACCTAATGGAGTTATGTACATGCGAAAAGTGCGACAATGCGTAAACCAGATAAAAGTAGAAGGGTAGGACAATTTGGGGTATTACAACCGGTGGGAGGATAGAACTATCTAAAGGAAGAGGAAAAGAATAAACTACTTTTGAGTAGGTAAATAGTTCTTAATCGCTTGCTAGCGAATATTTCAAAACATTTTTCACACAGTACACTTCTCTTCTGAAATATTTTCAAAACAAACACTTTGTATGCATTCTCAACGATACGGGAATCATTACAAAGTTTTCCGAACATAGACATTTTTCAAAATATTTTCAAACTTACACATTCACAAAGCATTTTCAAAAGTGAGCTAGCGATTAAGAGCCCGTAGATAACTGCGGATGAAAAGGGTGCTAACACCTTCCGTTTTCATAACCTACACCCCTTACTTAGAAAATTCTCAAAGGTCTTTCCTGTTCTTTACACCCTTTCCTTTATTGGATAAATAAAAAGTCGGTGGCGACTCTTGCTATCCATAACATTTCCTGTTCTCCCACTGTATTACAAGATAGTATACTTCATCACATATTGGATACTAAAAAGAAGAACATTGTTCTACTCTATAGTGAATTAATCATAATTATTTTTTGTTAACTTTGGCTATGACTTGAAAGAAGAAGTAGATATTATGCACTTGAATATAGGAAAAGAAATTTTGAACAAAACAAGATATGTCATTCGAGGAAGATAAATTGTTTTAATACCTCCAAGAAGGGAAAGACAACAAAGAAACGATGATCTCCATTCATCCTGTTTAAACACTCTCAATTATATTTATGATCATCAAAGGGAAATTGCATTCAAAGATTAACAAACTCATTGAGAAAATGGAGAAAATAAACTTCATATATACAATAGTGTCAAATGAGGACTATGATGAGATGAACTAGTTTTTTCTTGTTTACCTTTATTGCTTTTTTTTTGTCTTTTTGATATTTCCCTCTTTTGTACTTTCCCTTAAATTAAATAAAATGATGATTTCCTAAATGTTTATTCGTCAATATGTTTGCATGTTTAAACCATCACAATGCATCTTTACCCGAATTTTTAAATTTGATAAATGGGGAGAAGTATACTCTCAGGGGGAGAGGTATACTCTCAGGGGGAGTAGAGTATACTCTTTACTTAATTGAGGGGAGTTTGATCATTCCAAAAATATACTTGTTGTTTTTTTACCATCTCCATGAGATATGTGTCATTATCATCAAATATGGGGAGAATGCGGAATTATTTTGTAGGTTTAGTGATCAAGGAAGCTCTCAACAACATACTATTGGATGTGCTTTTGATGATGAAAATTAACAACTTATGTGCAAGCATAACAAGCGGCCAAAAATGAAATCAGACTGAGCTACAAAGCTAGGGTTTAATGATCACTTCAAGTCCTCTAATGATGGATCTAAACAATAATACATCTCAAGCCTTGTATTTAAGAAGAATTCAAGCAAGTGTTTTACAAATGAATCATTTGTCAACTCCTAAAGCTTCAAAATGTAAAAGAGAGGAAGTGTGAAAGCTCGTCTTATCACATATGGTGGAATAGTAGGTTGTAAAAGCATAAGGGTTTTCTCGTAAAATTTACAAATAATCACACACACATGCATATTAAAACAAGTTTTATAACTTAGTTTCCTTAAGAAAACGTTTCTAAAAATGCATTAAAGACATGCCAATTTAATTGGGTGTTGTTAGCAAATTTTTAGGATTGGCTGGTTCCCTTCAAGTCTGATAATACCCAACCTATTTCCTTCTTATTTTCCTTTAGAACCTAAATCAACTTCTGATCTTCCTGGGAGGATAAGAAACTATTGATGAAGATAGGTTTGTTACCTCCTTATTCAAGGAAAACATACTTTAAATGAGACGATAACATCTCCAGTTCAAGTTTGGTATCATCTTTCTTTGGTTCATCTTTTAATTCTTTGATTTTTATGTTTAGGAGGAACTTGTTTTACAACCTCCAAGAAGGGAAAGGCAACAAAGAAACAATAATCTCCATTAATCCTGTTTAAACACTCTCAATGATATTTATGCTCATCAAAGGGAAATTGCATTCAAAGATTAACAAACTCGTTGAGAAAATGGAGAAAAGAAACTTCATATCTACAATAGTGTCAAATGAGGATGATGATAAGATGAACTATTTGTTTCTTCTTTGCCTTTATTGCTTTTTTTTTGTCTTTTTGCAATTTTCCTCTTTTGTACTTTTCCTTAAATTAAATAAAATGATGATTTCCTAAATGTTTATTCGTCAATATGTTTGCATGTTTAAACCATCACAATGCATCTTTACCCGCCTTTTTAATTTTGATAAAGGGGGAGTAGAATATACTCTTTACTTAATTGAGGGGAGTTTTATCATTCCAAACATATACTTGTTATTTCTTTTACCATCTCCATGAGAGATGTGTCATTATCATAAAAAATATAGAGAATATGGAATTATTTTGCATGTTTAGTGATCAAGGAAGCTCTCAACAACATACTCTTGGATGTGCTTTTGATGATGACAATTAACTACTTAAGTGCAAGCATAACAAGCAGCCAAAAATGCAATCAGACCGAGCTACTAAGCTAGGGTTAAATGATCACTGCAAGTCCTCTAATGGTGGAACTAAAAAATAATAAATCTTAAGCCTTGTATTTAAGAAGAATTCAAGAAATTTTTTTATAAATGAATCATTTGTCAACTCTTAAAGCTTCAAAATTTAAAATAGAGGAAGTGTGAATGCTCGTCTTATCACGTATGGTGGAATAGTAGGTTGTAAAAGCATAAGGGCTTTCTCGTAAAATTTACAACTAATCACACACACATGCATACTAAAACAAGTTTTATAACTTAGTTTTCTTAAGAAATTGTTTCTAAAAATGCATTAAAGCCATGCCAATTTAATTGGGAGTTGATAGCAAATTTCTAGGACTGGCTTATTCCCTTCAATTCTGATAATACCCAACCTATTTCCTTCTTATTTTCCTTTAGAACCTAAATCAACTTTTGTTCTTCAGGAGAGGATAAGGAACTTTTGATGATGATAGGTTTGTTAACGCCCTCTTCATGGAAAAAATACTTTAAATGAAACGATAACATCTCCAGTTCAAGTTTGGTATGATCTTTTTTGGTTCATCTTTTAATTCCTTGATTTTTATGTTTAGGAGGAACTTATTTTGATGAATCAAACTCTTTTAAATCAATTAATAATTATGAGAAATCATCAGTTATTTTTTGTTAAACAACTTATCCGTTTCTCTCCGTAATCTTTGCACTTTACTTATTTCGCATTAGTTTTTCACTATTATGTAACTGTTGAAGGGTCGTAATAGTTAATTAGGTTTTTTTCTTTCTATTTTTCCCTATGTTTTTGTGGTTTGTATCCCCTTCTTCGAGGCATTGTAATAGCGTAGGACACTTTATTTCTGCCTTTACTGCTTTCTTTATAATTGTATAGTAACTAGGCGTGTATGGAATGATTTAAAAAAACGCTAGAAAACCTAATCAAGACAAATTAACTGAAAACAAATCACTTTTCACACACACACACCTCTAGGGTGATTCCACTTGTTGCCTCGGAAAAAGAAAACAGTCATGTCCCTCGAACATAGGGATACCATTAGCAAAGACACTCGGTTAAAAAATAATCATAAAGATCATAGTCCCTCGATGACCCTTTGTTGCTTCCTTCGGTAAATGATCTTGTCCCTCGATGTTGCCTATGAATACATGATGATATTCCCTTAAAATTGCTAAAGGTATCTGTCGTACCCCAAATTTTCCCTACCTCTACAATGATAATTTGAAGATTAAAAATACAAGAGAAATGATTTAATTAAGGACGGTCCAGCAATATCTGATGGCTCATTCTTAAATCCAAGTCAACCAGGGGGTGCATTTTAATTCAGGAGAGTTGGGTCTTCTAAATCAGAAAGACCTATGTATCCGTAAACCCATTCGCAAAGCATGTTGGCCAATGGCCCATGAGATTCGAAAATGGAAAATTATTTCAAAAAATAATTATTAAGTTCTTAATTATTAAGTCCACTTAAGAATTATTATTGTTAGTAAGGGTGAGATTGCAATATACTAGTCCATTTCAGTTGGCCCATTTCTATCTCTTATTGGCAAATAACAAAAGGAGGGTCTAGTTGCAAACTACAAAGACATTGAGTCTTAGCAGTCTATTTGGTGTTTTGTTGCTGTTTTGTTTTAGGAAAAAAGGGAATTATTATTAAAACATTGTTTTACTGATTTTCTATATATATAAAATATTTATTAATATAAGTCCCATTGAAAACTACTAAACTGGCCCATTTGGCGATTAAAGAGAAAATCACTTCTTTTTGTTACTATTATTATTGAACTGTTCCTATTATTATAATTATTTTTCTTTTACCAATTATCAAGAAGATTTATTATAATTATTTTATCATTTATCATTAAAATATATTGTATAATCATTTTATTGAAGGTTTCTTGTAAGCATGAAGTTAGTGTTTAGAAAAAAAATTGTTGGATTAAATCTTTTAAAGCCATTTCAGGCCCATGCGGTAGCAGACAAAAATATTATTGTTGCAATAGGAAAAAATAGTAACGTGTGGGCTGGACAGTTCAAGGCCCAATAGTTTTTTGCAGATTTGTTTGAGAAGTAGCGCAGGCCCAAAAACGCAAAAACAATTACTATACCATTTTACCCAAGT